TTTTGGGGCCCCCAATTATCCCCCCCCCCCCCCCCCCCCCCTGGACCGATTTTCAAAGCTCGATTTTTCCGCAGCAGAACGTGTGTGCCGTGGCGAAAATGGCGGCGTCGGAAGAACCGTCTCGTCGAGAGCTTTCCGAAAACGACGTACATTTCCGAAAACATTTCGTTTCTCTTGTAAGTCGTTCGTCGTGGAGTAATGTGCCCTCTTGAAAACTCGGTCCAGGGGTGTGTGGTATCTTGTGCCACGTCACCTACACGGCGGTGGTGGCCTCGCCCCTTGCTCGTAGACCCGCGACTACTACGCCTTGCTTCTCCGCCCGCCCGCCCGCCCGCCCGCCCTGCGGGCCTCAAGCGCCACCATTCCGCGTGACAATCCCGTGGGAATTGTATCACGGCATGGAACCGCCACCGTTGTATGTATGACGCATGAATGAACGAACCACATTCCGCGTGCCTAACCCGTGGAAAGGAAACTTACTCGCCCGGGAACGAAACCGCGCCGTTGTATGGCGAATGAATCAATGGAACATCATTCCGCGTAACTTGACCCGTGGAAAATTTCATCACGCAACGGAACCGCACCTTCGTAAATGACGATTGAGTGCAATCTTGTGCGTCGTTTTCTCGCGGCAGAACACGGCTGACGCCGTCAGTCCAGCCGCAGCGACGATTATCTCGCCGCCCTCTGCCGCCTCTTCCGCTGGAAACCCCAGCCCGGCCAAGAAACCCAGACCCGCCGGCCAGGTGCGGGTTTTTTTGTCGAGTGATGGTCATTCCGGGACGTTCTGGTGTGTGGTGCGAGTGGTTGTCCTTGCTCACAAGTTACGCTTTGGGGGAGAAAGCAGCATGACTGGTGTGTGATGGAATCCCTGATGTTGTTGCCGGTTGTGGTCAGGCTGCTGCTGCCGCCACCGCCAACCGTGGGCCGGCTCTGCCGGCGGTGCTGTGCCTCGCCCTCGACCGGAGAGCATCGCGGGTGTGCCTGGGCACGTGCCAGGGTCAGGTTCTCTCGGTAAGCGCGGCTCGAGAAAACAACGGACGTACAGCGGCATGCCTATCTACGTATATACATGCATGCACGAGTAGGTATAATAGTGTGTTGTTGTCGTGTACCGATTTGGACGTGCATACCGCATGAAACGCTGGCGTTGCGGTTGCTGTTTTCGATTTCACGGGTGGGCTCACCGCTGCGGTCAAACTGAAGAGAAGCATAGTACGGGGGTGGCCAGTAAGAAGGCCTTGTTGCGGAAAGCCAACATTGATTTTGCGGTATATGCTTGAAACGAACCGTCGTACGGACGGGACGCCCAGGAAGAAGGCATCCTTCCCTTGTGAAACCCCGGCCTTGATTTTCCGAGAGATAAATCAATCGATCGCTTGCAAAGAAGAGTGAAGCTTAAGGTACTCTCCGAAATCCCAGGAGAATGTTGTGTGAAGTCTTGGTTGCGGCCAATTGGTTGGTTGTATGGTGACCCCCGCGTTGTCCACGCCTCGTTACGTTGACCGTTGGTTCCTTCCTTCCCAGGTTGGCACCAAGGACGGGGATGTTTCTGCCTCCATGACAGTTGCGGGCTGTGCGAAGGTGACGATGCGCTTGTCTGTGTCTTTTTTTTTATTTCCTCTTGCTTGTGATTGTGTTTGTCTTGGATAATATATTGTACTGAAGGCCTCCCCTCCCGAACGCCTGGACCGGCAGAACGGAGAGTGAATCTTTGCCGTTTTCTGCACGGGTGAAAAATGAAGCGAATAAACAGCCGAAGTTTGAGCGACGAAACGGCGGTTTCGTGAGAAATGCCGTGAACGACTCGGGCCCGTGGACGAGGGTCCCCGCTAAGGTACAGTTGCGTTTATCCCCGCCCGGCGAGCATGTGCCCACAGGAGGAAACAACTTTGCCCACGCAGGCAGATATTATCGTGCCGCCGAATGTCAAACATTTTTGGTTAGCCGGGATGCCCGATCAGCCCACGGCGTATCTGGTTTGGCACAGCAAGCGCAAGGATGATGACACTATCAGCTTCTGCTTCATCCTTGTTGGATGTAGATACCCTGGGCCGGCGATTATCCGACATATCGCTCCGTCCCGGTGTTGTAGGGATGCGAGGTCAATGGTCTAATGACTACGGCATGCGTTTACAAGAGTACCCCCTCCCCCCTTGCTGTCGTCACATGACGGTCAAAACGCCCCTCCCATGGCTGCCATGTTGACACCTCTTCCGACCCCCCCCCCCCCGAAACTGCGGTCATGGTCTTCGGAGAGAACAGGTGAAGCAGATGGACTTGAGCCGGGACGGTAAGTGGATGCTGGTCAACGGCGGCGAGAGGGTGATACGGATGCTGGAGCGGGAGAGCACCACTGGGAGGTGTGAATCGTCGCCGCCGTTTTGGACACCGTTGCCCTTTTTCGGGCCCAAGCAGCACACGAACCGCTCCGACTAGCTAAATAGAGGGCAAAATGTTTCCTGAAACTGCGTACATAACCCCCCCCCAAAGAAAGTCACCCCCGCGCCAGAGACTTCCATCCCTTTCGAGGTAGAGGCTGGGGGCAGTTAGCCGTCATGGCCCCGCCCCGCCCCGCAATACATAGGTGCTCACGTAGGTATGGGAGGAGAGCCTCAAAAGCGGCGCGCACGTCGCCCAAGACAGCGCCACTTTTTTTTTTATTGTTGGTGTTACGGTGGCCATGGGAGCAGGACCCTTTGCCAGAATTGCGAATGAACAGCGAGTTTGCGGTAACGGCCCCCGCCTTGTCAACCCTGCCCCCTGCTGCTGGTGGTGGTGGTGGTGCCCCACTTGAAGGTCTGTGAGGGATTTTCAAGACGTGGTGAACAGAACAAGGTGGCAGTGCTGCCGTTTCACGGGGGATTCGGAGGTGAGATTGGCTGTTGGCGTGGTCGTTGTTCGTTACTATTGCTGCTGCTGCTGTTGTTGTTGTTGTGGTCGTATGTTGTTGCTGTAGTTGTTGTTGTTGTTGTTGTTGTTGTTGTTGTTGTTGTTGTTGTTGTTGTTGTTGTTGTTGTTGTTGTTGTTGCTGTTGCTGTTGCTGTTGCTGTTGTTGCTGCTGTTGGGGTCATTGGTGTTGGTGTCGGCATTTGTTTTTGTTGTTGTCATCGTCGTTGTCAGCCCTTACCCCTATCACTGCTACCGCCACACTCGCGTTGCTACCATTGCTCGCGCCAATCCGCTACTCTCGGTAGCAGCACCACACTCGGGGGCCTTTTTTTCTCCTGCTCTTCTCCAAACAGTGGGGTTTCCTAAATGGGGCGGTGGAGAGGGAGCTTAGTACGACCGCCTTATTGGGAGCAACCGCCTTGTTCATTCAACGCGTACAACAGTAGAACCACTTGATGATAATCCGTCCATACCAGCCAATCTCACACGCCTTACATAGGGCGACCGCGTTTGTTCAGACTGCCTTATTCCGGGGAATCCCATTGTGTGCGAGCAGTACATCGCGGGAGGGAGTCGGGCGGAGGGTACGTGCAGCATCTACCTCTGGACCATCGAGGGGCACCTGGTGACACGGTTGGAGGGACCCAACCTGGGGTTGCTAAGCCTGACGCGGCACCCGGTGCGGCCGTTCTTGGCTGCCGCCCTGACGAACGGAAAGGTGAGAGCCTGAGCTGTTGTTGTGTCTGTCTGTCACGTGTGCGTGGTTTTCGGTGTTGCGTCTTGTATCACAATGCGCATTGCCGTCGTAGGTATGTATGTTCACATGTGTTTCGGCTGTCTGTCTGTCTGTCTGTCTGTCTGTCTGTCTGTCTGTCTGTTTGTCTGTCTGTCTGTCTGCCTGTCTGTCTGGTGTGCATGTTTTTCGTCGTTGTATGTTGTCACATGTGCGCGAACTTAAGGTTTCGTAGATCGCGCTGAGAATGTTGGGGCCCTCTAGGGACTGTTTTTTTTTTTTTTCCTTCGTGACGGTGCCACGTTTTTCAATGAAAGTTGTAGGTCTAACACAGCTAGCTCCATGTCCCACTGCGTTCGATAATGTACCGGTCTCGCCTTGGAACTTGGTAGC